GCTCACACCAACCTCACCTAACAGTGAGGGACACCGAGGGCCAGGTTCTCCTGCACTGCCTGGGAAAAGGGAGTGAGAGAGAGCCCTGAGTGAGGGGCGAGCTGAGAGCCATGAGTGTCTGACGGGAAACCATCACAACATTTTAAATGAGCTTAGGGCAAACCGGTTATGACATTTTTTTAATTGATAAAGTGTTCCAGATGTTTTCTCCCCTGACTGAGAAGTGTCAGAATTGATGGATAACAAGTATGTAGAGATGCAGTGTTTTAAGGAGGTATGAGGAAAGCAGCTTTATTTGGAATTCACACTCTCAGTACATTTGTAAGTAACAGATTCATACTTCCTAACGTTTGTCTCTTCTGTGCACTCCTGTTGAGATGGTCATGAATAGGACTGTCAAATCCATTTCGTAGAGCAAGTAGACTTGAAAGTTGAGATATTGTGAGGATGGTGTGTGGTTTAAAATGCCTGCGTAAACATGTTATGTAAGGACGGAGAGCTAATTGCATCATTTGTCACTTTTCATCATCTCCACTCAGAAAGATGTACACAAGGATGTATCTATAGCTGGCTACCTAAATATTAGCCTTGTGTTACAGGGGAAATACGGTGAAAGCCAAGCAGAGGCAAAATGTGTAACTGCAGCCAGCCCAGAGCAAGCGAAGCTGTGATACAAATGTCCCCTATGGGGTTATGTATGTCCTACACTTTAATCTTACGGTTTCCGATCACCGGCTGGTAGTTTCTGTTATGAGAGTAGCTGGGCTGACGTTGCCAAACAGTTTCTGGTTTTACTACTTAACATAAAACCGATCGATCGCCGATACTGTTAAATATTTTTGTGGAGATGCAAAATCCCGCGCTGGGAGCTTTACCTGGCGTGCATGCGGTAAAGTATCCACTGGCAAGTTAACAGCAAGTCAATGTATTAAAATGCTGAGAGTTTGACACGATGGATGGAGAATTAATTGTTGCTTTATTTCGTAAGACGGCGCGTTTATTGGTGGAGGCATTTCTATGTGAGGATCCGAGTTCTGTGCTAATAACCTGGGCAGGTATTTACAGCTGTGTTTTTCTTTCTCGAAGCAGGAGCGTATTTCTTCCCTCTTTCCCCATGTTTCATTTACTTTTTTTTAAGTTCACAACCCCCTTCCTAAAAACTTCAGCCGATGCTTCCTTCTGTGCCGAAGCCCTAAGCTTTCCTAAACCTGTAAGGCCTCAGTGCACACAGCTGAAACCCTAACCTACCCTAGCGACACAAACCCTGCGGGCCGTGTTTGCCTTCAGGTGAGAAGCATCAGAACTGAGTCGGTTATGAAGGTTTTGCAGTGCTTTTCCTTCAAGCCAAGGATGGGGATTTTACGTGGGACTACCCTGTAAGCGTGCGTGAGAGAGAGGGGAAAGGGAGAGAGACTCCCTCTTCTGGGTTAAACACTCAGATTCAGCCTAAACATCACGATTTCTCGCATTGCTCCGGCAGCCAATAACCAGATAACTGCTAAAACTTGTCAAAGGAGGGGAAGGGGACGGGCCGCCTTCCAGCAATCCTTTGTCAGGGCTCAGGCAACGGTACAATAGCCCGAGCACCAGGCCGAACGCGTCAGCCTGGCGAGCGAGTCGGCGGTGCGGCTCCCGCTCCTGTTTTTGCCGGGGAGGGACCCGCTCCCCGCGCTGCCAACAAGTGTCGGGGACCCGCAGGCTGGCCCGGGCCCGCTC